TTTTCTTCACACTTGAAAGATAACTTTTCAAAATAGTGATGAGATCAGTGTTTACATCATCATATTGTCTGCGTTGCAACGTCACCTTCATCCTGCCGGGCTTAACGGGTATGTTCATGTGTACTGGATCCATTTCTCGTCGTCCAGTCATCATCACGCCGAAGGGTTTTCGATAAGGGGTTATCATCACAGCTTTAGGTTTGAGGGGCTTCATTACACCGAAATAAGGGTGCGGCTTGGGGTCAGTTGAGACGGCTGAAGGACCAGGGCGACTGTTTTGTTGTGTATCCGAGTATGGATGTGGATTTTTGACTGCAACAGGGTGACCTTGAGGGTTCATCCAAGCTGGTGGGTGTGACTTTGATGGGTGTGGGACTGGGTTCATGACGGTGTTGTGATGTGTGGGGAGATGAAAAGACCAGGAGAATTTAATGGTCAAGAGAAGAATTGTCACAATTTCGGGAAATTCCATCTGAAAATTACAGTAATAAACAAGGTCCTAAAAAAGAGGAAATCTTAGTGAGGCGGTGCAGTTACAACTAGGTAATAAATAAAATTAGATTGCAGAATTTTTGCATCACCGCTCTCGGTACCATTTTTACTATAAACTTTGCTTCGTATATGCGTGAATTCTTGATTTTCCTGAGTAAATTGAGACTTCAAGAAGGTGTTTTTGCTAGGAACGAGAATTGGGCTAAATTTACTGAGAAAATATAATTGGTAAACTATTGTGAACTATATATGGATTTGCTTTAAAAAGTTCTAAAAAGCTAATCTATAATTTCCCTTATTAATTTGAATATTCTATTATTCTTACGAACAGAGCAAATAAATATTTTAAATGATTAATGCTTCCAGAAAAAATTGTACCGAGAGCGGTGATGCAAAAATTCTGCAATCTAATTTTATTTATTACCTAGTTGTAACTGCACCGCCTCACTAAGATTTCCTCTTTTTTAGGACCTTGTTTATTTAATACTTGTAATTGAGTCTGAGTGATTTACATAATAAACACCACGAATTCCTCAAATTTAGCGTTAGCATAGCATTTGTTGTCAGCTAAATGCCTTGCGTGACTACCAAGTTTCTAAATGGAGTGTTGTAGCGGTTTCTTAACCGATTTTGATTCTCTTTATCTTAAAATTTACAGAAAAATACTCTATAATCCATGGGGGTTTGAAAACTTTCTTAGCTGTTCTATAAATCAACCATAAAGGAAAATGCGTTAATAAGATCACATTTTTGGCTGTAAAAATTAAAATTACAAAAGCGACTTCGATAACCATTGCGTAATGATGATACGTGTAATTTAATCAAAATCAGTTGAAGATGAAAATATTTGCATGAGTTATCCTGCAGTCACTATGTTGGGGTCGGGTGAATGCATAGTTAGTGAATTTTTTGTTGCTAGGAATTAGCCTTACTAATAAAAATCATTACGCAGTTAATTATTAACCGATTTTGGTCATATTTGACTTAAAAACTCCAGAGTGAGTTTATCTAAAATTTTGCCATCAGAAAACTACCCCTGATTCTCCAGTAATTAGTTAAAAATCAAAATGTGTTACCAGGGGTACATTTTCGTTAATAAGTCGAGTAAAAATCAATCAATCGCTAAGTCCAATAGCAAATCGTTTTCGAATTGAGTTAGAATGACCGGTGCAAAATTTCATCAAAATCGGTTGAAAAATGGCTAAGTTATCGTAAAATGCCACTTTTTTTAACGTGAGTAACTGCATACTTAGTGTTTTTTCGTTGCTAAGTATTTTGCCTCACTAAGAAAAATGTACAAAGTGTATAAAATATTTACAAATTTCCTGCAAATATAGGTAAATTTGTTAAGTTTACTTTATGCACCTTTTTGAGTTATACAAATGTGTGTAGCACTCCAGTCTTCCGTGATACGCAACTAAGTCTCCAAGTCCGTACAAACCCTACTTTTATATCCAAGTAAAATATCTGTAAATTTGGGACACGCACGTTCGCAGAATTTGAGATTAACCATTGACAACATACTCACGTATTTAGGCATTTATTACGTGTAAATGAACGTAACTGTCTTGCGCATACAAGAAAATCTACACTAATAATCATAATATTCATTGTTCCGCGAAAGTTAATCCTCATGGAACGCATTTGGGTACAAATTTTACTCTCCAAATTCCATTGCTCACGATCTTTCAGTCCAAACAACGAACCAAAAGAACGTCTACAACAGCAAAGAAAAGATCCACACATTGATATGAATATGGGCCAGTGGTGTAAAGTTTACACCTTTTTCACACCTTTATCCTGTAGTAGTCATAACACTTTGACATATTTATGTCACCCTCATTAAGTGGTGGACTACATCATAATTACCTTTTTTGACCGAAAATCTATTTATAATTCATAATTTTTGTAGAATGGTCGTACCCAGAAATTTATGACTTCATCACAGAGAAATTCCATTGCAACCAAGTCTCGAGAGATCCGTTTATGAATGTGTGCGGCTGAAATATTAACAACGGTATAAATTTTATATATTTATCTCCTCGACATTCGGATTTGCCTCAATGTATTCGACAGCAAAGTCCAGTCTTTAGATTCCTCTCATTAAAATAAACTGCGATGCCAATATCAAATCAGATCTGAGAATTGTTTATGTCGTGGACTGACTGGACTGTTAGGCAAAGTCGGCGACTTCCGGATGTCAAGTGCTTTTCAGGAGACGTGCTGGTCGTCGTCGCAGAGTTGTCATTTGATTTTATGACGCCGGAGATTGTGGCGAGATACGAACGCACGTATGATTGTGTGGGTGACGATGAGGGTGAGTTGCATAAATAAATAAGTGGAAATGCGATTCGGTTTGGCAGATGAAGTGGATGCGCAGAGACGACCAGCGACGACGACGGGGTGGACAATTGTCATAAATTAATAGAATGGCATTGTGTTTCATGTGGAAATGAGAATAAATGCTCAAACCACCGTGAAAACCAGTGGTCACTCTCTTGCTGGGATTCTATTTCTGTGTATCATCGGTCGAAAATCTCACATGTCGTGAAGGGAGACATTGCTGCTCCCAGTTTGATGACCAATTCACAATATTCTATCAAAGATAGCCAAATGATTGCAATAAATTTGCCATAAAATCTCCAAAACGGAAAGAAACACGCCGCGAGATATCTGTTTCTCCACTTGCGAGATCTTTCTCTCTGCCGAAACCAATTTTATTTTAGAACCTTCCTCTTCGCTTTTATTGCCCTCAATCCAAGTGAAATACGCTCATCTAATCGTCATCATCGGGAACAATTGCAGTTCTCACTAGTCACATTTTATTAGCAAAGAACCAATTTACACCTGGAGATCTCCCAGAATACTTCTTTCGTTGTATTCACTGTCGAATCAAATGTATTCCGCAACTTTCACGGCGAATAAAAACATTGGACAAGTTTTACCCAACGGTTCGGTAACTGTTGATTATTATTTACGTTCTAAATTCGTAATTAAACTTGGATATTCCAATTTCTACAATGAATTCCTCAAAAATCTCATCTTCCCCGACACCCATTTTTCTCCCCTCTCCAAGCTAAATATGCAAATCCGTTCCCATTTGTCAACCCCATTAGCTCCTAATTCCTTTTTTCTCTCGGAATAAGAAGCCCAATCAAATCCGAGTTAACCAGTCCTCGCTAATTACTGGATCAATTACATTAATGCAGTCCCAGCCTCACGACTTTCTCTCGCCTCCTGAAAAATGTCACACCCACGGAACCCACACCGTGACAAATTATTCTTTTCTCACCACTTCGCCTCGCTCGTCACTCGCAGTCTCAGTCTGCACCAGAGTTGTAGAATAATTAAGCAAAGAAAGCCAACCTCCGGACCCCTTTTTCTCATCTAATCTGCATTTACTTACAAGAACTCAATACCGTCACAAGAAATCCGTCATCCTGTCTCCGTCGCCGTCTTTGTGCACACGAAATCCCACCGGGCGATGCATCATCGTCAAGAAGTGTTGGATCTTATTATTTGGAGAGATTGGGCAGATTCCCAGTCGACTCAATCTCACTCGTCTTCACAGTTGATTAGCTAAAGGTTTTCCTTGTTGGGATGACTGTGATGAAAAATGTGGTTTTCCGCTTTTACTTAATTGTTCGAAATTGAGAGAGTAGGGACACATTTTTCTTTCGACACAGCGTTGTGCTGATGGATACGAGTGGGGGAACGGAGAAGTATATAATAGTAAGTTCCAGCTATGATTCATATGTATAATGTATGTATGAATTTCTTGAATTAGGGAATATTTGTTTATGAAATGTTTCATCCAAGTGTTACATACTTATTAGTTATGTATGATTATCTGACGAAAGTGAAAATTAATAAAATTATTGTTAAAATTTGGTCAATTAATCAAATTTTAGGTCGTGTTCATTCATTGTAAGTTCTGGTAAGTATTGGTAGTTTGATTGTCCCGTATTTCTGTCATTATTCATGCCCGTGAATAAATCCAAAATTGTTACCATCTAAATTTGAGATTCTCAAATCTTGCATTCTTTGTGCTAAATTTGCAACATTTCAATCAAAACGAACATATATTCGGCGTACTCGCTGCAACCTTTGCATGGATAGCTGGTAAATCTGTCAAACTGAGCATATCAATAAGCGCAACTTGACGTATGATAATTACTTTGTTTCAATTCATGCTTGTGATTATCTTATCATACTAATTACTTTAATCGTCCTGCAGGCATCGTATCATTGACCTAACTCAACCATGCAAAAATATGACGTACATAAGCAGTTCATTGCATACATTTCATTAACACTATCTCCGTGCACACACATCATGCCATTTAATTAAAATATTCCACTCATTTCCAATGTGCATATGTACATACGTAAGCAGAAAACGTTCATATGATGCGAGCACGAGGAAAGCGTATGGCGCAGAGAAACTAACGAATCGTTAGTAACGATAGAAAAGCTCAAGTTCAAGGCGATATCGATCAACTCCGACTGTGCAAATATCACATGTACCCAAGTTTGGCACAGACGGACTCGGTTCGCCAACCAGTTGCAAAACGTCACTTTAAGCTCAGATCTCCTCAGCTGAAGCACATTTCCTTCTTGCTAAAAAAGCTAATTTCTTATTGCTAATTTTTGCTAAGATTATCGTCATTCCAAGAAAAAATGTTTGTGGTAACATTTGTGAGACAGTAAGTAAGAATCATTTTAATCAAAATATTTACAGCTATTTAGATATTTGTAACGAACTTTCTTTAGTGGCGAGACGGAGTGCAATGTGGCCAACATAATTCAATCTCACACTCCAGGACAGTTAACGGAAAGGGGAGTTTCTATGGCAGAACGTCTTGGAATCCATCTCGCGGACGAGAAATTCACACGGATTTATTCCAGTGATTTAAAGCGTTGTCATGACACGACGCTCAACATTTTGAAGCAATCAAGTCACCACGTACCCGAAAAAGAAGGGTACAGCGTTGAAGAGTTGTTAGTGCTGGATGAAATGTTGAGAGAAAGGGTGAGCATTGTTTTAGTTCAATTTGGCACATTTGAAGGATCAAATACATGCAAAATTGAGGTATTGGGCGTACTCACGACAATGTTTAATTTCTCATCGTAACCCATTTAGCTTAGAAAATAATTTACGAAATAAATATAGACCCATTTGCTGAGCGAGTTTTGTGAATAAAAACCCTATGATTTTCCCGCAAACATTTTTGCTAAACTTCGCAAATTTTGCAAACAATGTTAGCATACTAATTTGCGAGGTTTTCCACCTTTGCAAAAGTTGTCGTGAGTATGCAATTATAATCCTTAAATAAGTAATTAGTAAAAATTTCGGATATTTATTTCCAGTCATGCGGTCCTCTTGAACTCCAACCTGGAGAAGAACTCGCAAAAATTATGCGAGAAACGGGTCTGAAATTTCCCTACATGCCGATACCTGGTGGGGAACCGTATCCCGATTTTAAGCAGAGAACAGCCAAGTTTTTTAATGTGAGCAGATATGGATCAAAATAATTGACGTATATATTATTTAAAGCTTCATACCCTATTTGCAGATGCTGTGCAAACTTGCCGATGTCGCGGAAAATGAGGAAAATGTGTTAGTTGTGACGCATGGTGGTTGGCTGATGGGTCTTTTGGATCACTTGGTAGACTGCCCCCACGACATTGAAGACTTTGACGAATCTCTCGTTCATTTGCGTCCCCACAACACGGCCACGACCAAGCTGGTCATTCACAAGCATGACTACAGCAAAAGTAACGAGGGGAGCAAGAGAAAAGTGACGGTAAAACATGTCCATGACATAAGTCATCTTCCAGATCATTTGCAGAAAGAAGCTTAAAAACTTTGGTGAAGGTTGACGTTCCAAAATTTTGTATTATGCAAAATGTATTAAAAATTGTGAGAGTATGGAGTTAGTAAAATGCATGTCTAAAAGTTGACAACATAAATGGTACCAATTTTTTAGTTGTTAAGAAAATTGTAATTATTTAGTCAATGAAGCGGAAGTCGGGATATTGCTACATACTTGTAAATAATAGACTCCGGAATTTAATTTTGTAATAAAATGATGATACCTTTACAAAAAAGTGATATAATCAAAGAGATCTTATCAAATTCTAATAAAATGGAATTAAAAAACTTTCCATTATACGTACTTCCGAAGAGCATGCACCTCACCAGACTTCATTACCTCACAAAGTATGTAAGTCCGTATTTACAAAGTTTAATAAAGAGCTTAGAATTTTTTCCAATTTCCGAACTGCCACAGACACCAGACCACAGGGAAAAAATCTCACCGCTTCATTATCTCCTGCTTGACAACAACGTCGTCTCAATTTCTGTGAAAGGAACCCCTTTTTTATTCACGGTTAAACCGAGTTGACTGATTGTATGAGCATAAAATGTATGTATGCACACAAGAGGCAGTGCTGGCTTTCATTACTCCATACAAATAGTATTCAGTGATCAAATTCACATTAATTCAGCCCAGATTTTCTCACGACAATCCATCATACGCATAATCAACCTTGTTGTGCTTGTGTTTGCTAGTGCTATTTATCTTATCAATCACTGCTCCAACACCCACCAAGAAATTGCTAAAACTGAGACCAACTTCCGATTAGGATCCCTCAAAATTAAAAGGGAACAAATTACAACCCGCAAAAAGACGACACGTGTCAAACCCTTTTTCGTCCATGGTTCACTTGTGTGAAGATGAAACGATGTGTTATTCGAGCCATCGTCTGATGACCGTTGACCAGCAAAGCCAGACCAGACCACCAAATATTCCGCGTTCGACAACACCCCCATTCATTATCATTAGGGAGCGAAATTTGGGAGAGAAAGATCGGGAGAGAAAGATCGGGTTGCTTGCTGGTAAGCATTTGTAAATTGACCTGTCATTTACGACGCGTGTCGAGTGGACTGGACACACTGTTGAAATTCTGAAGGACCATTAGTGACCATAAAATAAGTACATAGACAAAAGTAAGCAGTCAATAGTCTCATTCAATTTAAAAACTTTAATGCAAAACCATGCCCAATTTCTCCAGTTACACCTCCTCCACTACCCAAAACGTCAAAGGAAACAATGGAGAAAATTGTGGGTTTACACAAAAGGATGAACTTTGATGATTGCATGATCACCAGATATGTTCATCCATTTTCGCATTTCCCCACCCAGATTTCTAAACAGACAATGAAATAAATATGTATATTGGATTTATTGTGAGACCAACAATGTCATTATTTCATCGAACCTGTGCAAAAAATGGACACGTGACTCGAACAAAGGGAAATCAAACTGTTTTCCTGAAATGTTCGTATGCATGCCTGTATCGCCCATCCCATTATCAAGCATATTATTATAATTGAATGCGAGGATGGATTTGGATTTTTAAAGTGGGCTTATTACTATTATTTCACAAAGGAAAAAGCTCTCAGGATTTAAATAGGTTTGGTTTTTTGTGGGGTTTTCATTTTGGAGGGAAATGCAGAGCTCGAGGAGAGGAATGGAAAGTCAATTTAATCTCGTAAAAGGGAAAGTGGAAACATTTATGATGCGAGACAACTAATATATTGGAGACTTTTCAATATGCCGTAACCCAAGATTTTTAGTGCGGTTGTCTGTTCGTCACAGGATTTGAAAATTTTATACTCTGTCAGAAAACGAGGGACCATTTCCTTTTTTATTTCACAAAGTGGAAGCTATTATTTAGAACAAAGTCACCTGCTCCAAATGACCCGATGCGGACAAAGTCTTCAGCACGTTTAACTACCCGGATTTTCTTGACAATCTCGGTTTTCGTGTAAAGTAATGAGCTTGTCATTTTGAGAAAGAGCTGTTCAGTCGTAAAATGTGTCGCAGAATATCGTAAATATTTCCTTCGCGGAGACCTAATAAGAGTAAAAATGTGTATATTGTGTTTTCGACACTTGTAATTATTGTTTCTCTCGTTCGTTGGAATATTTATGGGAGAGATTTTAGTATTGGAGAGGGACTTATTTTTAACAAGGGTACGAAGCAAATAATTACTTTCCGCATAAAAATACCAAATTCTGATTACAACAAAGGGATCAACTCAAACTAACAAGAAATCCATGTCACGTGAATTTCAAAAAGGTACACAGTCACCATGAAAGTTGTGGAAAGAGGTGGCCAATTTCATGAAAAGTGGAGTGTAAATTTTTAATAATTTCCCTTAGAGTCGAATTTAGATAATACAAAAATTTTCAGGAACGAGTGAAAGATTTTAGATGTATCTACTTACTTAAATATTGATTTTTGGCCAGTATGATCACCTAAAATTTGTCATTGTTTCAGTGGCGATTGTCTTTTCGCACGATAAATACTTTAGGTTTTTCTTGTTTTCAATATACCTAAAACATAAAATGTTATACATCCAGGTCACCATAATTATTGTTCGTTATGTATGCAGTAACCTTCTTCGTTTCCTTATCACCAAAGCGTACGCAAATTAAATGCATAGGAAAATGCATCTCTCAATATTTTGTGTTTTATTATTGTCCGGCGAAATACTTGGAGGTACTTGAATTTCGCATTTTCAGATATTAATTTTTTCAGTAAATTACCAAGTTTTCACAATCTTTACTCAGAACTTAGATCAATCCGGCAATTCAAAGAAGTTGAAAGCATCCATGAGAATCAAATTTATCCAAGAGGAACAGAAAATGCAACTATGGCGTCAAATGATAACCGGATAAGCGAAAATGCAAGGAAACATAGTGAGTTCGTTAGTGACTTTAATAGTAACCATGACAACCGTAAAATTAAAAATTGTAGTAAACATGGAACGAGAAAAAGAAGGACTTCCCCCACTGCCCGAGGCTGCAGATCCAGGAAAAGGTCACCAGCAAGGGCGTGGATTTATCGACTCTTTACTATCTTCGCCAGTCATGTTGGTTGGAGGATTAGTGAATGGGGTAAATTGACGATTAACTTTAAATATGAATTAAAAATTAAAAATTTGCAATATGAAGTTGGTCGACGTGACGTCGTCAGTTCTTGGAGAGACGTTAACATCAGGCATGCCTAAAAAAATTTTTTAAAAATTTAATACAAAATTTCCAGGATAACAATTTTGCACCGAATTTTGCAGTTGGGGGCACACTTGCAAGCACTCTTGGCGTGGTTTCGGGAATTACTGGTGGCGTGTTGAACTCTGTGACGGGTTTAGTGGAAAACTTGGGCGAAACTCTGGGACAAGTTGGTGGCGGTTTGGCCGCCACGGTTGGGAATTTGGGGCTTCAACTGGGCGATACCGTTGTGGGCGTGGTGGCGCCAGCCGTTGAAAGTGTGGTGGGAGAGGTAGATAATCAAGATGATTCTTCTCCTCCTCCTTCTTCTTAGAAGAATAGTGTTTGAAATTTGAATGCAAGAATAAAGATACATTTTTAAAAATTCATGTTTTTTAAGAATTTAGTCAGTTTGAATAGAACACATTTTGCATTGCTTGTGGGAAATCGGGAGATTTTGTTTAGTGTGCGAATGTATTCTGCCTGTTTTTTTTTAAATACAGAAAGTTATTAGGTGAAAGTACATTTCAGCATAAATACACAGGTCCTCTATATTTTTGCAAAAAATTGCTCATCACAATTTAACCTGCTTAATCTTATCTTTTATTGAGTAGAGTAATTTTGGTGTGTTTGTTTTACTGGAGCATCAAAGTGTTTGGACTTCATTGGGGCGCAACGATATCCCAAAAATGTGGCTTAAGTAGCAGACTTCCAGACTGTAACTTGACCTTAATTTATGTCTTGTTTTGGCCCCTCGGTTTGTTTGCACTGGATAAGATAATAAATTTTGTGGGCTGGAGGAGACCAAGGCCAACGTAGGAATGACATGTGGAAATTGTGGAAAAGTCGGTGGTGTGATAAATGCGTGTCGACCAAGTAGTTAAACACTCCACATTAACGTTGCATCCTTGTAACAGATTCCACATTAAGAGCTCAATCGCTTTGTTCCCCAGCAAAAGATAATAAATATAAAGCACATGCAACGTATCACTCACCATCAGAAAAGTTCATCGCCTTATTTCCTTTTGTCAAAAAGAACGGTTTCGACTCCACCCAAATTAAGAGCGACAAGTGAATACAGATGTTTCGTTTTACACCCTTTTACATTTCTGCACAATCTTTTTCTTCGAATTTTTTTGCAAACTGCCGGAAATGGCGAATTCCCGTGTTTATCGATGTTTTCCACTTTTTGCGGAGGAGTGATACTAAAAGAGAAAAGAATGTGTGAATTTTGCTTCCGACTTGTTTATTACTAAATTTTTTATGTGGCGAGATTTTCTTTGAAGTGATTGAATCGAAGAAAAAGTGAATATGTCACGACACTTTTTCATGTAATGATGGATGTTATTATGGATTATGAAAGGGTTGTGAAATTTTGATAGGATTTTCAAAGCTGTTCAAAAATACTGACCACCGTGCTTTTGTGGAAAAAATAAAATTTCATCATCTATTCACACAGCCAGAAAATTTTGATCACAGAAGAGATGAAACCTGTCCGATTGGACGGTGTACAAAAGAAGGCACCTTTTCATCAAGGACTCAAAGGGTTATTTTTTCACTATGAATGTCCCATTGCCCAATCTAATACCCAGGTGTAAAGCATTAACCTTGCATTGCTGTGCAGTCCCACCGTCTCATTTTCCCATCCCACACAAGCAACTTGTCCACTGTACAAATAAATCCGCGTAATAGCTTTCATCACACATTAAAATTACAATCGGACACCACTCTCAAAAAGTGTTTTAATATTTTTATAAAATCCTTGTCAAAAGGGTTCGATAAAGTCGTAAAATTGAGATTTTTTATCGGTTATCCGGGATTAGCGAGTTTCCCACGTTCAGTAGAATTCTTCTTGAAGAGAATCCTTATAACGGAAAATGTAAACAAAAGTGGTAGTTAAAAGGACTTTTATTGGGTCATAAATTTGCACCAGTTGTATTTTAAGGAGTAAATGTATGTACTTGGTAATGTGAAGTGGTGAACTTGTGGAGAACAAGTCTCACTTTACCTCCAGTGTATTATTTCAGTAAGCGATACTGAAATTTGATAATGATCAATAGAGTTCAGAGAATGGGATAGAATTTCGACTAAATGAATGCTTAATTGATATGAGCAGGCGATTATGACAGACTGATTGTTATTTCAGACAAAGTGGAGACGATATGTGCATGATCACTTTACTAATTTTTGACAGGTTTCTCTTTAACTTGAGTAAACGAATATCATTTTCCCATTCTTTGTCCTAATAATAATTGTGCAATTCAATTCCAAAATGTGGTATAAAAATAATCTAACCACAAGTGTGAGATTAGATTGCATCGACAATGCGTGAGAGCTAAATTTATTTAAGTCTTGATCAAAACTCCTCAAACTAAGGAGGAGCTTGTATGGATATAGTACAAAATTAATGAATCTCAGGAACATTGAAAAAACATAGAAATGTGAACTAATCTAATTTACGTTATGTGTAAAAATTTATTTTAAGTTAATTTTCCTTTGGTTTGGAAGTATGTACTTATCAGTCGTTTTTTATATGTACTCCAACACATTAAAGCCATGCTTTTACTGCCAACTGTTGATGCATGTATGTGTTTATGCACATATGTATTTATGTATTATAAGAATTTGGCTTAATTTGCGTTTTAAAACTTTTCGCGAAATTAGTAATTATGAGTTATTTGCAATTGATTTTAATCCTTTATTTTATTCATTAAATAAATATGTACTTAATTTTATGTACAAAAATTTGAAAGACTTTGCGGATATATCTAGAATTATTCCAAGATGTACAAAGTTTACAAGAGTTATTGATTGCTAAAAAATATTGCTATTTTTATGACCGACGCATCTTCAGAAATAAGTTACTCTTCTGCTTTAACAAAGTTCTATTCTTTATCTAACTAAAAAGACTGGATTATTTAATCACTAATCCACCATAAAATTATTTATGTCAAACTAAAAATTTGAGATGAAATTGATAAACCAATATCGTTAAATGTGCGAAATATTCTGCATGACTTTAATAATTGAGCTTAACATAATGGCACAAATAAAGTGAAACTACTAGGCAAATCGAAATCACATAAGTATTTACTACATAAGAACAATGAACAGTGAATTAAATCAGTCGATATTGCAGTGAAATTCGGTCCATCATGTACAGTTTCTTTTAATAAAGGCCAAGCTGAGTCCCACGAGTGTCAAAGGAATTGTGATTTTGAGGGCAAATCTGAATTTTATGTCAATTTGAAGAGTCGGGATAATGGTTGGTCGATGGTTTCCGGCTGGATGTCTAGTTCGGCGATGCGGTGAGTTCTAAGAAAACACAAAATATTTTTTTGTCAAAAATTGTAAAAAACGGAGATAAGGAAGTATTGTACAATGAAGAAAAGTAATTATTGGGAGTCTGATTTGATATTTGAGGCGAATTAAGAGAAAGTTCAAAATTTCGAAACTTATGTATGTATATATTTACCTTAGATCTGTCAATCTCAAATTGGTCAGCAATTTTTCTCAAGCCTTCTCCAATCATACGGTAAGTGTATTCAGCATTAACTTGAATTTCTATCATGGAACGGTCGGATGTGTCAGTTTCGATGTCTGGGGTACTTGGGAGTTGACTTTCTTGTCGTCGTCGTCTTGGTACTAACTGGGAGTTGGTATTGTTGTTAAGCTCGTCAGTAGTTTCTTGATCTCTTTGTTGACTGGGTTGGTTGTTAAGCTCTCGTTCTCCGTTAATTGCCTGGACATGACAACACACCAGGTCCGGAGGGGATTGGCGAGTTGATTGGGAGGTTGAATTTTGAGGCAATGATTTACCTGCAAGTTAAATATTGTTAAAATTTTGAAGAAAGTATAGTTTAGTAAAAACTACATTAAGTTTTAATTTACACAGACGTATGTATTTTTACAAATTTCCTATTATGAGAAAAAATCTCACAGTTTCCATATTAATTTCCCTTGTAAGAAATCTAACTCCATCATTCCCTTGCTACAAATACCAACAATTGTTGTCTAAGAAGCCAGTCTCACTTTTCCCACATTGCATTAAAGTCTCAACGTACCTCTATTTCTACTCCTGCTCCGACCTGAAGTTCTCCTTTCACTTTCCTTCCTCGTAGTACTTCCACCAGAATTGCACATCTTGTAGCGACAGTAACTCTTCACCAAGTCAAGTAAGAAACGTCTCAAAAAACTAAATTCACTTTCACCTGAAGTCTTTTCAACAAGCTCACTTTCGTCTTCTTCCTCATCGCCGTGTGTGTAAAACGGAATTGCCATTAGGGCAAAAAATTGTGAAATATTGTTCTCAAAATTAAAATAGATACGAAGATATTTATTTGTTAGGTAGCGCATTGAGTTAACTTTCCAAGTTTCACATTCGTGTTCAACTTGAGACTCGCTTTTTGTTCGGAGAGAGAACTTTTTCGGTGTTGACTGGCTCCACTCGAGGCTCGGACTGAACAAGTGGCTGAGGTCGGAGCGGGTTATAGCCGACGGGAAAGTGAGATTGAAGTGGGGTTGAAGTTGTGCTGTCTGGTTGGATAACTTTTGGAGGGAGCAGAGAGAGAGAGACGCACGAAGCGATGATGATACGCATCAAGCTTGGCTCGAAAGTCACTCGAACAACAAAACCAGGAAGGAAGAGCAGTAGTTGGAGGAACATCAGGGGCATACATACGTTTCCAATCTGATCTGTATCATCACCGTATTCGAAATGAAGCTACATACGCTTACGTGCTGGACGCGTCCCCCTAGCTCAAAATGTGATGCGAGTGATTATGGTTCTGTTTTTGTTATTGCATTGGCTTTTTTATGAAGGAAAAGTGTTACAAGAGAGGAGATTGGATTTTTTGTAGGAGTGAAAGGATAAGCGACAGGTTGTATGTGAGTCATAAGATTAGCTGGTCTGGTAGTGCTACATTATCTTTGTAAAATGCTCGACTTTAAGGGAAATTAAAAAGTAGATAAATGAATTTCGAAATTTCAAAGTAAAATTATTTTTATATTCCTAAAACCGAGTACAGTTTGCAAAAATACATAAACTACAAGGTAGGAAACAGACTAGGGATGGATTATCATCACCATTATGAAATTCACAAAATATAAATACGTAAGATAACAGATTAATGATAAAACATGACGCTACCCTTCTCGTAACATCGCCTCCAACCATATGGCGCAACCTGGATGATTTTTTTGCGGATTTTAAACATGTACATGGAGCGTGCCAGGGGTCCGACGAGGGGGCTTAAAAGTTTAAAACCAAAAGTTAAAGCAGATGCGAAATATTGACGAGTTGATGACTTGGGGTCACCCCCAAGGGGGCGAAAGAATGATTCGGATTATATTGGTGACGCTCTGGTCTGGTCGATGACAGCTTGGTTTGATTGGTTAGGTGTTGTATTGCATGTTGGTAATATGGGAGATGAGTGTTAATTAAATTATGAAATGGTTGAAATGATCTGTTGTCGTATTTAGATTGTCAATATTTTTTTAAGGATTAAAAAAATAATATTTTTTAGTAAACGTAAATACATATTTATCCATCCAGATTTCGAGTCCAAACGAAAACTAACTAATTCCAAAGCTGAAATCCTAAATCCAAATAAATACGTATAATCTTTGCAAGTTTAAGTAACCATTTGTTGCCGTCAAGCAGGATGGCAATCTGTGTTTGTTCTTTTTTGCCTATTTGTCTTCTCAACCACTTGGTAATGCACCAGACAAGGAAATAAATTTCCTCAACAAAACAACACCGATGTAACGAAGCGAGAAGGATTTAAAGGAACCCATTTTTTTCTACTTGGTTCGTAATAACTGTTAAAATTGTCGTTACCAAGTTCGAGATCACCTTTCGTACCAAGAAGATCACCCAACTGTACACATGTAAGATGTGGCTAACTGCTGCGCACCTCTCACAACAATCACCTCCTTTTCACCTCTTTCACCATTATGTGACTACCCATTAAGCCAACCAACCTGGAGAAGACTTGTCTCTATTATTATGTAAATTATTATCCAACTCGCCACCTCATTAAAGACATTAATATCACACAAATTTAAATTACCCCGCTTGCCGATTTACATAGTATATATTTTACATAAGTGAAAATGCTAATCCACAAATGGTAATTTAAACCATGCTGAGAATAGGATTGGAAAAGGGGTCAGTTTTTTTTGGGCAATTTTTTATAGACATGATCTGAGCAAGTACAAATGGTGTTGATTATCTTTTGAGCTACTGGTCTTTCCAATTGTCTGGGCAACAACCTCACATCTTGGGCTACAAAACCAGCCAGCCCTGTTAAATCCATCCCTTCCTTCCTCCTTTTCCATCTCTGTCAAGGCCAACAACACAATAACGACCCAGCAGGATTCACTTTGTACTTATGTAAAGCTCGACCAGAAAGCTGAACCCATGAAAAAAACAGCTCTTTAAACTTTTACTCTAAGTTTCCACCCCTTTTCTTCCCTGCGAGGGTAGAGTGGTCCATGTTATTGCGTAACGTGATCGCTGTGAGGGTGGATGGATGTGGTTGGACAGATTTTAAAAACTGGGATGATGGTTGTTTAAAGATTATCTACGAGGGTCTGGCTGGTGTTGTGTTGGTGAAGTTGTTTTTTGTACGGTTAAAGAAATTACATTATTCAAACTGCATCCTGATAATGAGGACAAGGTCCAAGTCGTATCGTATTTTGGAGTCTTCTTGTTAAGTGGTGAATCCCGTTTGTAAATTTACATTATGTAGACACGTGAAGCAGGCAGGGAAAAAAGTGTGCGTCTGTTAGCTGACCTTTAACTTGTGGGTGGATGAAGAAGAAATCAAGACTTGATGCTCAAATGCACGTGCAGTACTGGTTTGTGTACGTCTAATTATTACTTATGTATATGTGGAAGGATAATTTGAAATACAGAGATTTTTTGAACTATGGGATAACCTTTGCTCTTGTAAAGACAGTATTTAGGATTACGCCAACGAGATCAAGACCAGTTGTAGAAAATTATTTACTGAAAAGCTATTAATCACGGATAAAAAGTTGGACGTATTTTTTACGTACACAGAAATTCACCCGTTCACCCCTTAAAAATAAGGTCCAGATAATCCCGACCAATAATATGTACACTTGTTAAGTTGAAAAAGTTTTATGATTATTTTGAAATCCCCATTTTTACATTTATGTATTTCAGCAAATTCGAATGACTCTGTAGTAAAATTAATTTGCCCATCTGCGTAAAGAGTTACACATTTTTTTCACAAGGAAACAATGATAAATCGCAGATGTGGATGTGTGGTGAACGTATTTAAAGGTACTGATGTGGAATTGAAACAAAGTAGCGTCAAATTAGAAAATGTCACCTCCTCGCGTTCTGACATTGACAGATGTCTGACTTTTGCATTTAGGGCCGAGTTGTGCTACGATTTTTTATAGCGATTTCCTTAATCAATTGATTCCATTTATGTTCATCGATTTGATTGATTTGATTGATTTGTACGCAGCGGACTCCATTTTTTTTCAAGTCAAGACACAGCATGTGGTGTTCAGAAAATGTTTTTGTTGTTATCATCCATCGTATAGTTGGAGTGAAAGAGAAGTGTCGAACTTGAAAAATTGGAGACCTTTTGTTAGTAAACTTTGGTTAAGTGGTGTAATACGAGATTGTAAATTGTTGCGTTTGTTTATCCCAAGAATTGTAGTCTCTTCTTCGGGTGAAATATGTGCGCACTTGTAATTAAACACTGTCAGGTCATGGCTTGACGAATTATGCGCAACTTAAAAAAATAGACGCGGGTCTAACAGTGAATAAGGCATGAAGGGTCAACTTTTTTATAAGGCCTGCTTATCTTTTCCGCATCTACGTCTATCACACCAATTTAATTTACCAATGCACTTGAGCCGTACGTATGTAGATGCAGATCTTCTCCTTGTTAATACTAAGGAAGGAAGCCGTAGTGGTGACAGTGACAGAATTGAGTAATCTATAAAGCACCACAACCAAAATGATCAAGACTCGAGGGCATGATGATTACATTTCACAAATCTCATTTCATTAAGCTCACTCTTGATTCAGACCATCATTAATTATCCTGTCTCAAAATAGTAATCCGAATTCAACAGGAGTTCATAATCTCATTGTCATCTCCGGCACCAAGTTCATCTAAATAATTAAACTGAGACACGACAACCAACCATGGCTTCCGATGCACCACCGCTGGGTATTAAAGTTGGCTTCGTCATCAATAAAACGAGACCTATACGTTGCTGGCGGGATGATATATTAGATTGTCAAAATTTTCAGGGTAAAGTCTCAGAATTGGATTTAAAGGAGAATCATGATGATGGTTAATACTTACGAACTGTGTAGAAATGACTCACTCAATCAAAAGTCAAAATTTCACAGGATCGTTCTACTTAAATCGAATTTGTACTTTAAACTGGAAACCAGCCAACCAAATTGTAGTCAAGAATTGAATAAAAATCTTCTCCTTTTTTATTAAATGAACCATAAAAGTCTTCCCGTAAGAGAAACTTTTACTTTAAATTCTTAGTAAATCCATATTTCCAAATAAATACGTAATCTCATTCGTTCTCTCATAAAATTACAGGAATATTGTACCAACGGCTGATTTAATTTAACCACTACACGACCCCGGCAGCAGGAAGAAGCAGATTTATAATAATGAATAAGTCTGGACGTTAAAAAATGTCCAATTTCCGCGAGAATTGATGAACCCTCGGGTTCTCCGTTTACTGAAAAATTGCCAGTTGCACCCTTAATGATCAAGTTGCGTCTGGGGAGGAGGAGGAACTCGCATTTGTAATGCGATAACTTTTACACGGAACTGGGCTAATGTGGGTGTGAGGTTACAAATTAAGTGAGTACCGTGATTACGGAGGAAGTTGGTTTGGTGGCAACATTTTTATATACTGAGACCTTACGTGGGCTCAATTAATCTTATTGTTCGACCCAATAATGCCCCCGCTTGGAGAGGAAATGCTAAATCCCATAATTCGTGGGTATCGTTATCTCGGGAAATTTTCAGAAATATTTTTATCTTTTGTGTCCTCCTCCTCCTCATAATCAATCCCTCTTGACAAGTTGCTGCCCTCCTAATCTGGGCAAATTTTTCATCCCGAAATCACATTAGCTACACCAGACAGCCTCCGATGATATCGAATATCCGTAATGAATTGAACTAGTATTGGGGAGTGGCAGGGACAGACAAAAGTGAGCAACTCGGATGTACGATTGAATACGCTGCACCATTATTTATTTCAAATTTAAATAGACCTGCGTTTTCTTTCTTTTCCAGACTAAAACATCACTCATGTCACGAAACAAAGATCACAAACAAGTGAACAAAACGTGGAGATTTTTCCACTGAAATCAAAACTGACAAGGGCGCGTGGCTCTCAGCTCGATTGATGTCTCATGGGAGAATCTCTGGGGTTTCGTTTTCATCATGTTTTTTATTGTCAATTATAATCAGTCAGTCAATGAGGAGTAACAAGATTTTTATTAAATAGACTACCACACAGGCAGAGCTACGTAAAATAAATTTCATCAGAAAGTAGTAAGTAGTTGATGCAAAAATAAAAGGATTGTCAGAGAGAAAGCAGTGATCACGAACGCCACGCGACCTGTCCATCTTTCCTGGGCGAAAAGTGTCACTCATTCCACGCTGGGATGATAATTGGTGGGAAGTGTGGGTTACTGAATCAGGCAAAACAAACATGGTCCAAAATGTAAAGAAAATACTGATAAGGGTTTAATCAGGCAAAAGTTGTTGTCACCAGTGAGGTACTGAGTGAGTTGCATACTCGATGTGCCTCCGAATTACGTGACAATGACAACCCTTTAGTTACGTCAGTTCGTATTGGATATGGGTATTCGGTTCGAGTTGGAGATTGAATTAAGGAGTGGATCTGCCCTGCGTTGGCCATATTATGTAAATACATGTTTGCAAGGACACGTGACCATTGGGGGATGTTCGCATGGGAGAGAGGACATAATCGTAAAAACTTACGAGCTCATTTTAGTTTCGGGAAATTCAGTGTCGTCAGATTGGAGTTGGAGTTATGCTGCTATGTACATGTGTATCTGGTTGTGTGGTGAGTCACCAAACAGTCAGAGCTGAAATATGCTGAAGAACATGAGAATATATATTTTATTTGACAATATTTATCTACATTGTGACACTAACGTTAATATCGACACGTTTTTAAAACGAATATAAAATATGCGGCAATTGATTTAAAAATATTCAAAATTTGGGACGGGACAACAAAATCAAATTAATTAAAGACGGAACTTGCTATATGATACCATTTAAATATTAATTTCAAATCCACAAACCTCAAAGTATCGGAAAAGGCGGAGAATATTGATTTTGGGGAAGCCCACCTAATTACGCCAAGTGTTAAACAAGTCGTAACAGTGATTAAGTAGAGTGATTGTAAAAGTTTGAGAGGCGGATGAGAAGGCGGTTCCATGCGTAATAATCAAGCAATTGGTCCTTCCGTATGTACATATATTTAGTAGAAAGTTTCTACTAGAAACTGTCAAACAGATTCTCTCTCCCGATAAAGTAAACTAAATACTTACGCCAAGTATGTACATATACATAACTTTTTGGTTGTTGGTGTCACGTCACTTAACTCGAGCACATGCAAGACGACACCTGCTCCACTTTGTTTTAAACCACGCATTTGTTTAATGAGAATGACTTGTGTATTTTTAACGACTTGACATTTTCAAAAATGATTGGATTTAATCAATCAATCACTTTTTCCCGAATCAATTGTTGCATGCGTGTATTTAATAATAATAGTTTATGAGGCAAAGAATATCTAAATTATAAATAAGTGCATAATAAATTTATAAGTAAAGGATATTTGTTATTGTATGAGCGTACATTTTGATGACCAATATTAATTAAACATTTTGTCGTTCCTCCATCGGCGCCATAGTTGGTGTCCATTCTGCCACCATCATTCGACCGGGGAGGCGATCCGTTTTCGACCCGCTTTCTCTTTGACGATATGTATGGCTACGAGTGGTCATGCGACTTATTATGTTGCTGCTTATTACTTATTTTATTATGTTTGTAAGAATACAATATACCCAAAAATGCGAGGAAACCGAGTATTCAATGAGTAAGAATTTTGTGTTGTTTATTAAATTTTTATAGTATCGTGAGTAATTTTAATAGGACTTTCGCTTGAACATTACACACATGCCCTCGAAGAATTAAATTAGTACGATATAATTTAATGTAACACTATTTGGGAATTGCAGAGGCAGTGCGTGAGTACATGTTGAAATTGGCACAATACAAATACACCCAATGACTTGTGTATTTTTAATGACTTTACATTTTCAAAAAAATGATTGGATTTATTCAATCAATCACTTTTTCCTGAAACAATTGTTGCATGCGCGTATATCAAGTCAAACTCGAATAAAATTGGTATTGGAATATTTGCATTTGCAATATTATGTCACGACACGAGTCGCGTGCTTGTATCATCGGTACGAGTCGTAAACTTTTCCCACTTTTAATAATCATCCAGCCATCGCACAATATCTCCGTCGAAAAATCACCCTCTCTCTTCAGCCAACTGTCGAACATGTCAGTGTCGTATGTACAAACCAAACCAAGCAATTTCATTTGGTTCATTTTGTTACTTTCATTTCGAGATTTCAATCGGATTTGGAAAACAGTAAAATGTTTGTTCTCGTCGTCTTTCTCCCTCATGTATTATGTATAAGGAGGCATGATTAGGGATTTTATTTTGGTTCGTAAACGCCAAGCCTGCCTTAAGTGACGCAATGTGTCCAAATGACTCTGGGTGACGTTTCGAATCAAGGAAAGAAATGTCATAAAATTGTTGAGGATTTAGTGCGAAAGGAAATGAAAGGTAGTTTGGTTGTTTCCTAAAATTCGGGGTTTCTTTTTTTACCCGCTTGTTTATTGTTACCCGAGCAGGACGGACTTTATATTTCCCGACGTCTTAAATTGGTTCATTTCCTGAGTGTCGTGGTAGCATTAGAGTCTGGCACTTTTTTCCCTTTATTTTCACTCTCAACTTTCTCCAAGTCTCATTTCTCTCGTAGATTTGTGACAGTACAAACCGCCTTCTTTTTTATCAACCCCGGTGGGACCGTGTTTACAGGGAAGCGTAATTTTACGACGGTTTCTTTGTGTCGTGGACGGAATTAGGGAGAAAGAAGGCACTGATTCAAAGTGACAAAGGAAATTGACAAGTTTATTTCGTCTGGGCATTTCGACACTTTGGAGAAATGCATAAGGGAGCTCGTGATGATTTGGTCTTTTGTGTCCAGCTGTGGCCCGATGGGGTCAAGAAATGGTGTAATGATTATGACCCAGCGGACGTATTCAGAAAAGTTGGGTCTTGATTATTGGTCTAGGAACAATTTCACGATGAAGTAATGTAACCTTAACATGAAAGTCAAAATGCAATCATGGTTCACATGTGGCGTTATTTCTTTATTAGTTTGGTTACTCGGATGCCCAGAATTTAGCAAAAGTTCATATCCATTCCATGAAATATCTAGTATGTATGTACGCACATGCAAACATATAATATGGTCAAGAAACACTGCACATATGGATATTTATGGACAATTAATAACAAAGGTCAGTCTAGACTCCTGTCGGACACATGTTTCTGGGCTTTTTTTGGCAACGGGTTGGAAAGCGAATTAATTCAGAAATACAAGAAAATATTATATTATAAACCTTCCAAGGTATTTATACCATTGGAGAGATGAATAACCCCAACGTGTCGACAGCATCTTTGTCTCACATAAAAAATACCAACCTGTGAAATACCCAATTTTATGATTTTTTTAGAAAGAAGTGGAATATACTTTTATGTACATATGTAGAAGGTTTGGGTAACATTTTACGATTTTTTTGGTATTTCTCTTTAAACGAATTATATCCAGGCTGGCTCCATTGCTATAAATGAAAATATTTTGGTGGGGTGGAAGTTGTCAGCTGTAGGTTGGAATTAAACGAAGGTGGACAGCGAGAAAGATGAATGTGAAGAAAGAAAGGACGGTGACTCCCTCTCCATTAAGATTTATGGCTTGTCGATGTCGCTTTCACTCCGCACTAGAGATGTGGAGGAGGGTGAAAGCAGATGTATTAAAAATGGAGAAAGCGATCAGTTTTTATGTTCTTTAATACTTGTGGATTTTATTGTAGTTAGTGCTCGAAAATACCAAGAACAAGTTCGCATTGGGTTTCTTTATCCTTTAGACACACGTGTCACGTAGATGTATTTTACCGGATGCGCCTTTACCGGGGCTGAAAGGTGGGGAAAGTTAGCTCGAAAATCGGATTTATTTAGCTAAATTTAGCAAGATTCGAAATCATGGACTTGTATATAATTTAATTTTGAACTAACTTATAACATAAGGTGAACAGAACTTCTTCAAGGTAAAATGATTTTGGAAATAATATTTCGAACCATCGACGGCGTTCGTATGGTTCAAAAGGAATTGCATTAGGTGTGCTAAATATTACGGAGTAAAGTTCAAAGAAATTGATTTTAGAGAGGATATTGGCAATTTCTTTCCTTACTATACGTCAAAATTCCTGGTGCAAATTGCATTATGTCGCACGCAGTTCTAGAGTTATTGGTCTCAACCTTTGTTAATATTATTTTATTTTCATTTATCTGTAGATGCATGCTCTTTTATCAGGTATCTCGTAGCGCGTTTACAAGTCTGCATAATAAAATATGCATAATTTGATTATATAATATTAGATTTGTACATGTACTCGTAAGTGCTTGTGAATTATTTAGTTATTGCGGACCTTAAATTCTTTGGCTTTTGAAGGCAGTACGATTTAACTAAGGAAAATTAAGCGAAATTGATTCCTAAGCGAAATTCGAATGTGGAAATAATTCTTATTCCGTCGCCGTTCTAATTCGCATTAAAATCTTGTCAGGCCTCCGATTCCCACTTCCGGGGAAGAATATTTGCAAACTGGATGGCGTACGGGGTTCCCAATTTAAGTTTGTTCCCTAAATAAAGAGTAAATAAATACCCTGAAATTTAAATTGTATTTAAAATTGATGAACTCACCGCTTCACATGTTGAATTTTGAAACCACCAACCTCCAATGTGCCTCCGTTCAACGAACGGATATCGTTCTTTATGGCACTACAAAATTAATATAAATGAGGGATTTGAAATTTTGCAGTAATTTATCCAAATTTTTACCGCGGCGTCGGGATTGTCAGTATTGTCAACGTCCTTAGTGCTGAAGGGTTGTCCATTTATTTTGTAAAAATATCGGTAATCTTCGCCTGGATTTTAGACATACTTTTAGTACATACGAAATCGTAAATAATATGTGCAAAAGCTGACCTCCTCTCCCCATCGGGACCCCATCGAGGAAATGCACCCGGTATAAGTTAGCTTCATCCTCAATCCAGAACCGTTTAAAGATCATGCCATTATCCGCCTCGAAACTGCCCGAGTATTTTCCATTGACAGAACTGTGAACGGTCTGGATGGAAGACACCCATAATTCCTGGTCTCTGTTTCTGGTCAAGGCGTGAATGTTATCGAGACCTGTTGAATTTTGGAATTGGTGTTAGTTAAAATTGTAATAAATATATCGATGGATAGTGGAGATAAGAGACATACCCAGCCAATAATTGGTCCCCGCAGTGCCAAACCCCTTCTTATAGTCGGTCCATGTTTTATCAGAAAATGAGACTGGATTTCTAAACCCTCTCCGCTGAATTACTGTCCAACCACCACCTTCCTGCTCCATTTCGCATGAAACCTAATTTACCACAATACGCATGCATGTAAATGCTGTAATGGTATTTTGTTTAATCAATGAATATTTAATAAGTAGTCTAAAATATGGATTCCAGGTGTATTCAAATACTGATAATAAGTACGTACATATATCTTGATATGAACATCACATAATTTTGAATTTAATTGCATAGAAAATGAATTACTGAATATTTATCTTACATAAACTGGATGTGCAGCATCCCGAGTTGGAAATATAGTATAATTATCCTCAATTTGAACGAAACTCTCCTCGGTTACGGCTTGATCTCTGATCTCCCAACAATTTTTAGGCAGAAAGGTGTCTAAAAGTGTAAAATTAGAGAAATTAATTTATACAAATGAATTTGCACAACTAACCGTCAAACGAATCTCGCGACACGTCTCGAATGAACATGTATCCCAAGAAAATACCACAAATTAGAAACCCTAGTACAAGGATTATGCTGATAATTAGGAGGGGTCGTGAACAAGCCATTATTCACTACGTGTGTCAACAGAAACTATTTTTTAAATAATTATTTAGGCGTAATGAATCACTAAAACGTTAGAAGCCGTTGTTGGAGTGCGAAAGTTGTGAGGCAAATGGAATATGCTAAATAATAAGATTTGCAAGGTTACGAAGCCATGTGTATCGATTTCGTTCTATTAATAAGTAGGGCATTTCGCGAAATGTGAGCACACATCAAGTCCACGCATGCATGAAGTAAGAAAGCGTGTAGTAGGATTTATGGCCTTTAGTTGGCTCGTGTCCAGTTCCATATGTATGGAAGCTGAATGTGGGCAGCATGGGCGTGGGGGAATGAATCACATTAAGCTTAATTACTTTGGTTGGACAGTATCTGTTCCAGAAATCTTGAAATGTCTCAACATTTGCATGTGACCTTGACTGACGAGTTACTATAAAGCTATTGATATCCTCAAAATACTAAATTGGATTTTTGGCGAGCCGTTGAAGATGTGGATCTTTGTGAGTTTTACCTCTTTTGAGAGGGTGTAACAGGCCCAAATGGTGCCATGGAATAAAACTAATTGGGGGGCATACCCTTATGGTATAGCCTCCATATGTTTATTGATTATTATGATGGTTATAAATATTTTCTTATTGTTATTGGAACGTGAAAGTGATGATTATGAAAGCTCAATGAGGAATCAATCAATAAAAATATGTATCGATTCTAAAGTCTCGATTGTGTATGTTATAAATTCCAAAGAAATTAGAAAATTTATTTTTAAATATATTTGTAATCAATCTTACGTCAAATTATGAAAGTTATGAATTATGAGAATTGATATTGAATTGAAATTGATAATTTAAAGATTTAAGATAAGGAGTTTCTATTCTGAATACAATTAGAAACCTTTTCGAACTGAATGTCCGAAGTTGTACTATTCTCGCTAGTTAGGCTAGTTGTTGAGAAGGGTGTCCGGGCACTGCATACCCCACAAATCGTTCCCCCACATTACATTTCCCACGTCGCATTCCCCCACAATTAATATCTTCACATGTCATACCAGGCACACCTCATTCCCCCACGCATCATTCCCTCACTTATCATACCCAGCACATCTCATTCTCCTCAGTTCATGCCTCCAGTTAGAGGTGAAATGGATTCCCAAACGAAAAATCCATCCAATCCATAATCCATTTGGATTTATCCAATCCATCCAATCCATTCGAAATTTTTTGGAAAAAATATCCAATCCAATCCATAACTTTTAAACAATTAAAAATCCAATCCAATTCAAACCAAACACAAAAAACCTATATTATTCAGCACTAGTTTTAAATTAAACCAATATAATCCTGTTTACAAAAACATTGATATAATATTTACAAAATCAACAAAACTATATTTAAAAAAATGCTACCATGATATGCATACCTATTGTTATATTTCGGTATATTTTTGATATAACAGAACTGTTTATACAATCGCCAATCGGCAGGCAAAAACTAAATGCTAACATTAGTGAATGTGGCCCTCCTATCAAATGCCAATATGTTACCGACCAAACCAGTAATACACTCGCCTGCTTTAAGTTAAAAATATAAATTGATAAGTACATAGATTTTAAAATATTAAGATTGATATAACGTCCTGGTTATGATTTCTATCCAGAAAGTCACACAGTGACAATTCACAACCGAAAATCCATCCATTCCAATTCAGATCTCCGATTATCCAATCCAATGGATTGGATCCCAAATGGATTGGATATTTTGGATATCCATTTCACCTCTACCTCCAGTTCATGTTGACAAATACCCTCACAGCTCATATGCTACCCAATTCATACATATGTCCATTCTCACTACAATAATGCTAAATATAATACTTTTTATGGTGAGCTTTGAAATCAAGAAAAAATTTTACAATTGGCATTAAAATTTTAAAACAAATTTCGGAATATATAGGGTTGCTCATATTTTAAAAATTTTGTATTGTTGACGGTTAAGAAGGAAATACCACTATGATGTAATACTTTTTATGGCGAGCTTTGAAATCAAGAAAAAATTGTACAACTGGCATTACAATTTTTAAATTTGGGAATTTTTAATTTTTAAATTTACAAATTTGGGAGTAACGTTGCTCATATTTTTAAAAAATTGTTGATAAATGAGGACCACATTTGACTTATTATACTATGTTATTAAATAAAGCTTTTAGTAATGTTGAGAAGTATAAAAGAAACCCTGGGGGCGCTGATGCTGGAAATATTAAAATTCTATGTCCTTCACTGGAGAAGAAATTTATTAAATACTTTTTATCGCACTTCTTAGTCTCATCTAAGCTTTCCTTTTTTGGGTTTCTTTTATTTATTAGTTTTTATTCGTATTGAAGAGTAATTTATGTGACCACCAACCATATTACTAATGACCTACTCTTTAAGAGACCCAAGCATCACCTAGATACTAAATGGGTTCTGAATTGAGAAGTCGCTGGGTCGACCTTAGCAACTTAACTTTGGGCGGTGGTGGGAGTGGTTACATTTCACCACCATCAAAACTTTCTTACTTTTAAACCGATTTTGTCTATTTTAATTTTGTATTTTTATAGAAAATATGTATCAACTTTTTATCCATGTACTTTTTTCATACATGCCTTAAATTTTTTCAAATCTCCAAAAAACACACTATTGGTTGGGTTTCTATTGAATATCTCATAAACCGTTGGATGCTTCAGGCGGCCAAATCAGGGCTCTACTCGATGTAGCCATAATTAACTCTAGCCAAAATTTCATTAAAATCGGTTGGAAATTGACGGAGATCTGAAAAAATTAAGCTTTTCAAACCTGTAGTGAATGCTTACTTAGATGATTTTTTTTCCATATAGTAACTATGGCCTCATCTAAGAAAAATAGAACACCTATGTATTTATCCATTTCATTTCCCATTTACCTATTTACATGAACTGGAGGCATGAACTGAGGAGAATGAGATGTGCTGGGTGTGATAAGTGAGGGAATGAGGTGTGCCTGGTATGACATGTAAAGATATTAATTGTGGGGGAATGCGACGGGGGAAATGGAATGTGGGGGAACGATGTGTGGGGTATGTAGTGCCCTACAACCGTTGAGAAGTCTGACCACCAAATTGCACAGTGATAGCATCATAGGCTTACATATGCACATATTTGTACAACAGTAACAATGCTAACTTTCTCTACTGGCTGAAATAAAATTGCATTCTTGTTACCATCAATTTGTCTAAACTGGTCGGATTAATTTATCCACAGATAAAAGATAAAACAAAGTGAAAGAGTTTCATATAATCCTCGCTCTTCGCTTTCACCATTGCCTCGTCATTACACGCTCGCTCTTATCGTTAAGACTGAAGGGTTTAAGATTCATTCTCCCCGTGATTGAGAGGAAGTGTCTGAAACTATTGCTTGCCAAGCACAACTTAATTAAATCGAGACAATTTGAGATGGAAAAGCAGAGATTGTTGGACACTGACCAATACCGAGATTAACTCTTTGTCCAGCTCGAGCTCATACAATCACGAGGAGACGAAGAACTCTACGAATAAGTGTCTTGAAGCAATTCGAAAGCTAACAATGGATAATAAATTACTACGAAATCTCACTTTCTCCTCTCATTCATGGACCCAAGTAATAGAAACCCACAAGACTTTCTCGAACACCTAAATTAGTTTGTTCACTCGGATTAAATTAATTTACCCGACGAGATTTACAACTAAACCATTATCGTAAAAAAGAGACATGGAAAATAAATGCGAGTACATTTCCATTACCGGTGTGGCGTTGGAGGGGAAGGGTAGCCAAATAGCTGATAAAACTTAAAAAATTTGAAATGTCATCATATCCGGCGTATGTGCGGAGTATTCTGAGGTTGATTATTCACTGATTTGCATACAAGTAAAAACCCGAGGTTTTTTTTATAGATTTTAACATGTACATACCCCGTTGTCAGCCATTAAACAAAAATTTCATGATGTGAAAACAGGAAATTTGGCAATCTGGTGATAATGTTGATTCAGTCAGCTTTTGCCTATCCACATTTAAGTAGCTTGGTTAGAATTTCAACTATTTTTCAAGAACATGCATATTTTATCTACATCTTTTTTTACGTCACGATTCCTCATCAACATATTTAGCTCTATTGGTGACTAACCAACTCAGAATTTGCATATGGCAATTAATAGCTGTTCACCGATATAATCCAGTGAATAATCTCATCTCCTGCGTAAACCTTGAGTAACCGAGAAAGTGAGAGAGATGAAGTATTATTCCTATTTACTTCTGCATTACGCTTCATTTCGTGCCATTATGCCATTATTATTCTTATGCAAATTACCGGAATGAACCACTTCAATCCCACTCTCTCCCTATGCCTTTGTTCCGCATTTCATTTTCTGAAACATGGTAAAACAATGGAGTCGAGCACATTCAACAATTCCGTCTTGATTTACGACACTCTGTTCATGCACAGTTGACCATGTCGAGTCCTAAATCAGGACGAGTTAGCAGATTCCCTATCCGTCCAGTGGAGGTTGTTTATCTTATGTGGTGATGGGCTTAAAATAAACACGGGTGCATTTACATGCTGATTATTCAGATTTGAAATTAATGTGTGGCACTGTTGAAGGAATACGTTTCAAAATAAGCGTTAAATTATGGAAGGGAATTGTCCCTCGTGAGAATGTCAAGTTGCGCTTTATGAAATGAAAATAAACAATCGCTCTGAATTGAATCTCTATGCATTTGTTGTGGAGTGGTTGGTTGTGTTGAAATAATGCGATAATAATAATTTCATTTTGGTAACAGAACACAAAGGAAATTGATTGTTAGGTAATAATGTGAGACTGATAACATGTCTTATCTTATTCTGGGTTGCAACAGTTGTAGGCAGACTTCCCAATTGATTTCCTAATTTAAACAATTGTGAATTTTTATATATATCGTGAAACGATATTGATTGGTGAAGGGGTGCCGGGCATTAAAAAAACATTAAAATCATCTTGAGATATCTGGGAACCACACGGAAATGATGATTATTTAAATACTGACATTATCAGTATAGCATAAGTCCTGTTTAATTGAAAAAATATGACATTACTAAATTTTGTGACTCATTGAGATCAATAATTTGTGTG